GAGAGAGAGAGAGAGAGAGAGAGAGAGAGAGAGAGAGAGAGAGAAGGGGGGCAGATGTGTGTTACAGACGGTGGCGCGATACCGGGATGGCACAGGGTGGGGGAGAGGGGGAATGGGTTGGTGGTCGCGGGAGCCGCAGTGTGTGGGTAATGGCTTGTTGGCGTGGAGGAGGGAAAGGAGGTGTCTTGACCGCCATTGCGGCGTGGTAAAGTTGACGTACCGATGTGGAGCGGCGGCGGCGGAGTAGTGGTGGGCGCAGCGGCGCCGTCTTTGTTGATGAGGATTGCGGCGGACGGCCGGAGCAGCTGCGGGAAAGTAGTGACGTGTACGCGAGGGACTGGTTGTTGCTTGGGGGACTTGAAAAGATGACAGTGGGTAGCCTCGCAGAGGGGGCTGGCGGTGTACCTGTTCCCCCGGCCTGTGGAGGTGTTGGAGGAGGAGGAGGAGGAGGAGGAGGAGGAGGAGGAGGAGGAAGTGATTCCAGTCTGGGAGTGATGATAACCAACATGGTCTTGAAGACGAACGCCCAATGCGATGCGTCCATGTCAGCTGCTGCTAATCGCTTTGATGGGGAGGATGCTACAGTGGCGCGGGGCCTGCCTGGGGCGGTTTCTCTTTCTTCCTCCCCTCCTCGGCCTCCTCTTCCTCCCCAGTTCTCGTCTCCTCCTGCTTCTTCTTCTATTCTGTCCGGTGGCGGGTTTGCGTCAGCGGGAGGAGGGGGAAGAGGGTGGTACGGGAGTTACGTTGGCGCAGGAGTTTCGCGGCCGGCGGGGGCCGGCGGCGGCGGCGGCAATCTTCTTCATGGCGGTGTGACTTTGACATCGACGCAGGCGTCCGATCTGAGAAAGGCGGGAAATTACGCGGAGTGGGGGGTGCTCGGGTCTGCGAAGCTGGGAGTTGGCGGTGGGCGGGAGTCTGTGAAGCTCTCCCCCGCGCTATCGTCGATGACTTTCGTGGATGGCAGAAGTGGGGAGGTCGGGGGAGGTCCGAACCCGGCCGCCGCCGCCGCCGCTGCCGCCGCCGCCAGCGCCAGCGTCCCGCTAGCCGCGGCTGCTGCGGTAACGACGGGCACGGCGGCGAAGTCGACGTCGGGAGAGGGACTGCGGCCGCAGCAGCAGTCGCTTCAGCAGCTGAGCGCTCCGCAGACCGTGCGGAGATCCCAGATCGGCGCAATTGGTGAACTTATGGCGGGGGGAATAGCGGGGGCGTTCAGCAAGACGTGTACGGCGCCTCTGACACGGCTCACCATTCTCTTCCAGGTGATCTTGATTGATTGGTTTGCGGCTTGAGTGTGTTGCTGGCTCGTTGGTTGAGTGGTTGATTAGTTTAATTGACTGATTGGCTGGCTTATTGGTATGTTGAGGTTGATTTGATCGATCTATGCATATGAATGGATGGGTGGGTGTGGAGATGGATAGGAAGCAATTGACGGGATTGGATCGCAAACTGTGAATTGATTGATGTAAAATAAATAGTTTGATGGGGGGGGGTTCCCCCTTCTTCTGGACATCCGTTAAAGTTGGGACGGTACGGAGAGATGACGGTAGAGATAGAAGATTATTACTGCAGTATTTTGACCCCTGCGCAGCCAAGGATTACAACACGGAGAAATCGAGAAATTGTCCACATCTTTCAAGAAGAAAGATGAAGAGTTAATGGGTTTGATAGCTGTGTTGCTGAATGGACTGGATGGATGGATGCATCGATTGGAGGAAGAAGGTAATCCGGTGGATTCGATGGATGGATGGGTGGGTGGGGTGGTAGAAGAACCGCTCATCGAACAGGGAGAAAGGGATAGATAAATGCATAATGGGCAAACATGATGGGCAGAAAGAAAGAGTAGATGGATGGATAAGTGTATTATGGATATGGATAAAGATGATGGGCAGGGAGAAAGGGATAGAATTTGGATAGGGATGTGGATACGGATAAGGATATGGATAAGGATGATGGGCAGGGACAAATAGATTATGGATATGGATAAACATGATTCAAAGGATGGAAGAAAGGATGGATTGATTTGTTCATTGTTTGTCTGATCATGCACTACCGGTAGTCGATAAGATCATGAACTACCGGTAGTCGATAAGATCATGAACTACCGGTAGTCGATAAGATCATGAACTACCGGTAGTCGATTGATGATGCGGAGTGCTCTCTGTGCGGCTAGCTATGCATTTGCAATCAGATATATGATGATATGACCGGAACGGCTTCCAAGGCTTCGTTGGTAACAGTAATAAATAAACGAATAGAAGAAGACAAGAGAAAGACAAACGAACAATGAACAAGTTTGGAAGGAAGGCTGGACTGAGGGCCTATTTCCACCCACTTGCCGCCAAATCCGCGAAATTTAGCAGGAGAGCTGGACTACGTTTGGTTTCCCTGCGGCTGCTTTGCCGGAGGGGAGGGGGAGGAGGGAGGGGGGGAGGAGAAGGGGGGGAAAGGGCATGAGGAAAACCGAGGAATGTATAGGTGGACAGAAAATACACGTGCTCTATTAAATAAAGAAGTAAACCAATGGAGGAAAAAATATCTTAGCCTAGAAAAAAGGCAAAGAGGCAAGCAGATGTTGGATGACCAGTTGGGACTTGTCAAGCTGCCTTAGCACTGGATGACACCAATTTGCCTCTGCAGGTATCACGCCACTCGTAGAACAACACCTGCCCCTTCGCCGCTCAATAGATGGAACGTGACGGAATGAATGTGGCCTAACTCTTTGGAAGACGATTAAAGAATCAATGTAAGCGAATGGTACGAATGGGCACTTTTCATTTCTCGACCTCGGAACAACCATTCTGACACACGTGTATGTGTTTGTGTGTGTGTGTGTGTGTGTGTGTGTGTGTGTGTGTG